CTGCAAATTCGGAGAAAAAGTGGGCCAAAAGTGAAAAAGCAGAATTCTGGAGTATCAAGGACCGCGCGGCCGTGCGGATTTTAGGCATAAATCTCACACGGCCGTCCGGATGGTCGTGATGGCGCAGTGAAGGAATTTTAATTACACAAGGAAACCCGCCCTATTATATTTTTGCACCCTATTTAAAGGCCACAAGCACACAATTAGGATTATCTTGGATCTTTCTACCTTTTATCTTTATTTTTAGTTTTTACTTTCATCTTTCTACACGCAATCAAGGAGCACAAGAACGAAGACGAAGACTTGACGAATCTTCATCATAGTTCTCCTCTTTTATTGTTATTTATAGTTTTATGATTTTTCGTATTTTTATTATGTTTTTCGTAACGAACATGCGTAGCTAAGTTTTTAATCTAGGATTTTGTTGGAACCCTATGTAGGGATTGCGAACCCTTTTTCTTGAGATTATGCAATTATGATTTTATGATTATTTCTTCTACTTGTTATGATTGTTAGTGCATGAACTTGATCAATTTATGTGCTTTATCTGTGATTATTGGGGTTGACTCGACAGAGCTATTTTGATAATTAGACGGTAAGTAGAAGAGCCTTCGAGTAGTTTTCACCGGATGAGTGTGTCAATTGCATGTGGTGTCGTAGACATACAGATATCACCTTAGGTAGCCATTTACGAGACTTGTTAGTTAATGCTTTATTTATAATTGGTTTGCATAGACATATAGTGAATCGTTTATGAATAATAGACTCATAATACACGCGACAGCGGGTTATGAGTAAATTAGTGTCTCGGGTTAATAATCATGAATCATATATTTCATAATTGAGGGGTTTTGGGTGAGCAATTCTTGCATAGGGGAAGATGAAATCCTAGGTCCGTTTTTATTGATATCTTCTCGTATTATTTGCTTTCTTTATTAGTTTAGTTGTTTAATTGATTTAATTTGACAAACTTGCGTAGGCTGGATAAAAATCATAATTGTTAGAATTTGGTACTTAGGATTAGGTAATTTGCGTATTCCCTGTGGGATCGACATCCGACTCTCACGAGTCCACTTTATTACTTGTTTGCGATACGTGCACTTGCGTGTTGGTATTTAGCACCCAACAAGTTTTTGGCGCCGTTGCCGGGGAATACGGCTAAATTATTTATTTATTCTAATATCAAATTTAAGCAATTTTTCTTACTTCAGCCGATTTATTTATTTTATTTTATTATTTTATTTGCTTATTTTATTTTTATTATTTTTTGTTTAGGTACTTTTTATGCGAATGGAAGAAGAGAATAATCGTAAGGGAGATGACCAAGGGCGGCTACCGAATGCGGCAGGAAATATCGTCAACGAGCAAGAGCAACTTCTGCTAATTAATCCACCACATCGTCAACGAGCATTGCATGAGTACACCGTTCCAACACTCAATGGGTTCCAATCGAGCATCCAGCAGCCCCCCATTGAAGCCAACAATTTCGAAATTCGAGCGGGACTCCTTACTATGCTCCAAAACAATGGGTTGTTCAGCGGATTAGCTCATGAAGATCCGCATCTCCACTTGGTCAATTTTCTCGAAACGTGTGATTCGCACAAGATGAACGGAGTATCTCCTGAAGCACTGCAACTCCGCCTTTTCAAGCACTCTTTGCAAGGAGCAGCCCGAGAATGGTTACAAACTCGTGCACCGCACTCCATCTCATCTTGGCCCCAGCTAGCACAGCTCTTCATGAATACGTACAACTCCCCAACCAAAACTGAGAGAATCCGGAGAGAAATACAAAACTTCTTACAAGAAGCCGGTGAAGCATTATTCGAGACGTGGGAGCGGTTCAAACAATTAATTCGGAGATGCCCGAATCACGGTCTTCAAGAGTGGCGGCAAATGCAAATATTTTATGATGGATTGCAAGATAATTCGAGAACGGTGCTCGATTCAGCAGCGGGCGGTATGTACATGAGCTTAACATATGACGAAGCTTACGAGCTTTTGGAGCGGATCGCAAGGAACAAATACATGCGGGCATCGGACCGGTCAAATAGCGGAGCCAATAAGACGGGAGGAATTTTAGAGTTAGACGGAGTCACCGCAATCACCGCCCAGTTAGAAAAGCTATCAAAGCAAGTTGCAGCTTTGCAGACCCAGCAAGTCCATGCAATCCAAGGTCCCGACCGGTGCTTAGTAGAAACGGAGTCTCTAAATTACGTGAATGACACCAACCGACAACAGAGGAACCCGTACTCCAACACTTATAATCCGGGATGGAAAGATCACCCCAACTTTGGATGGGGAGGAAATCAGCAAGGAAAAAGGCCAGCGCCCGAATTCCAAAATCCACCTCAAGCTCCACCCCAAGAAGTTGACCTCGCTGACATCTTAGCAAAATTCATGACGTCGACTCAAGCATCCATTCGGAACCTTGAGACACAAATGGGTCAACTTGCAACCCAACTAAACGCGAGGCCGTCGGAAGCACTGCCGTCGAATACGGAAGATCCTCGAAAGAGCAACATCGAGCAATGCAATGCAGTAAGTTTGCGAAATGGGAGGCAATTAGAGGAAGGTCCTAAAAAGTCCGTAGCACCACCGCCTATTGAAGAGGAGCCCAAGGAAAAAAACGAGGTAGGGCCAAGCAACACAAAAATCACAGTAAGTGAACCTACTCCCAAGGTACCTTTCCCTCAACGTTTTCAAAACTCTAAGCTTGATATGCAATTTCAGTTATTTTTGGATTATCTTAAAAAGTTGCATGTTAATATTCCTTTTGTTGAGGCACTTAAGCATATGCCGAATTGGGTTAAGTTTATAAAGGAACTTGTATCGAAAAAGATGAGGCTTCCGGAGTGTGCAGCAATCATAGACCTCAATGAGCAAAGTAGTGCTATCCTTGCAAATAAAATTCCACCGAAGCTTAGAGATCCGGGCAGTTGTACCATTCCATGCACAATAGGTACTAGGTATTTTGGGCGGGCGTTGTGTGATCAAGGGGCGAGCGTAAATTTAATGCCTTTATCAATTTATGAGAAATTGAATTTAGGAGAAATTAAGCCTACTTCCGTGACCTTGCAGC